AAAGTAAATAATGTGCCTGTCTGTATTTGATTTTTGTCATCTTTAACCTTCCAAGCTGCAGCTCTGCTCTTTAACCAGTTGGAATTTAAATGTGTTGTTACAGTAGCATCTTTGTTGGAGATGGACTGTGACTCGTGCTCATTAAGGCTACAGATGTCTGCTCAGATTATGTATTTCAAAAGCTTTTTCTCTGATGAACTGTGAAAAGCCAGGCTTGAGCAGAGGATTGTGAAAGATAAAATAATAGCCCCTCATCCCTGTGTCTGGCAGACTTAATGCAGTTACTCTCAGATCTTTTTAAAAACTTTGAGACAGCAAATTTGTTCACAGTCAATAATATAGCCCTCTGAGCGCAACCTGTTATGTTTCCTTTATCAGTCTTTTCCTAAATTATTCACAAAGCTTTTTACACTTCAAAAATCTCTAATTTGCGAATTCAGCATTTCCCAGATAATAAGGTTTAATAGGCATAAGTGGCATTGATAAACTGTTTATATGTGGCATGATTAAAAAGCATAAATCTTAGGGGGGAAAAAGAGGCACAAAAGAATAAATACTCCGTGAATTTAAGCTAAATTAGCTTGCCTACTCACCTTTTCTGTGAATTTGCATTTAATAGGAGAGGAGACAGAACTCTTTAAACCTGCCTGGATAATACCTGCTTCTTCTGGGAGAAGATGACTGAATTATCAAGCAATTCAGTTCAATGACTTCTGTGATGTGTAAACATTTGCGGGAAGTTACTAGAGCAGAACTAAAGACTCGTGGCTTTTTCTTTCTAAAGTAGTCGTGTGTGTCCAGCTGAGATTTTTCAGGTGTTCTTGTATTTCGCCTTCTCCCTATGACAGTGTGCACAAAATGGATGGAGATTCATCGGGCAGTCTCGGCTGGGTACCTATTCCCTTCCACACCTCTGTATACTCACCTGGCTCTACAAAAAACCAGAATGTTACCAAGGAATTACCAAGAGTTATTAATTTCAACATGATCAGATATATAGTAAGAAAAAAAAAAAAAAAACTTGATGTAAAAGTCTCTTGTATGCAAAACTGTCTCGTAGTTCTGCTACTTTTGTTTCAGCTGTGCTTTAGTGCAGTTTTCTCGACGGAGCATTATTTTAGAAGACCATTAAGGGCAGTTCATTTCTTTTCCTTGAATGGGAAGTGTCCTCTCTAGGGCTGCAAGCCAAGCAGTGCTGATAGCCTCAGGTACTGTTACTGTCATCTTTTGCAGGTTTCGATTTACTGACTTTGCTAGAAAAGGGAAGTTAGATGCAGGTTAGTCTTTCTTGGTTTAAACTACACCACAGCAGAAGTGAAATACTAATGGACTTCGCTTGTGGGCGCGTTTTGCTGAAGGACCTTAAGATGGTGTCTTCTTGGCCCAGTAAACCCATGTATAAGGCAAGAATAAGGTTGTCAGGGTGATGGAAGACTTTGTTTCAATGATAACTGAATCTTCCTTGGCAGAACTCTGTCTCAGAGATACGATGCGCTCTGTGTCTGTTCCTGTAAAGGCATAAAGGCTATGCATCTTTAGGGAGCTGGATTCTTTGTATGGGGGAGAGGGAGTGTCTCCATGCAAAGTACTCAGCACTGCCCAGGGCACAAGAAAGAGCACTTGACAGATAAACCAGATTCTTTCCTCTTCACGGGATGTATCTGTACTCCTCAGTGCAGCTCCATGTTAGAAAGACACAGGCTAGAAGTAGCTGAACTGATGGAGATGCTAATTCAGATCCCCAAAGCAATATTGCTGAGTTGGCCAGTTCAAAGGCTGCACCAGATAGCACTATTCAGAACAGCACCTTCAGGGCCGTACTTCTGGGTTGGAGATCTCTACACAGACCTGTAGTCCCTTGTGTAGGCATGCCCTTAGATTGCTCTTGTTCTCAGAGATACGGTGAACTAAATGGGAATATGAGCAACAGATCTAAAAACCTGGAAAGGAATGGAGAGTTACTGTTAAACAAATGATGTTTTATTAGCCACAGTAATCCTAAAGCTCCAAAAGAGCATGTTAACTGCAAATTTACCCAAAATCTCTGCAAGGTTTGTGGGTTGTTGTTGTATGAAAAGGATCATAAAACCAGATAAAACAGATGTTTTGTTTCAGACTGTCCTCAAGCTGGTCATCAGATCCTATCTAACTTTTGACAAAATGTTTTTTTCTTCAGCAGTCTGATTAATCTGTTTGGGTTTATGGAGGCTTTTTGTGCAGGACCTAGAAGACGCTATCCTAAATGGATGGATAACCTTAAAAGTTTTGAAAAGAAATTGATGTATAATTTACTCTCTCTTCCCTTTTAATGAGATGGAGATTATAAAGAGAAGGGACAGTGCTGCTGCAGAATGATCCCATTGTAACTAACTAGGTCTCATTGGGTCTGCAAAGGCGTCCTGTTCCCAGTCTTATGGCAATGCGCTGGAACCAGTGAGCCAAGTTGAATGAAACTCCTGTGGTATTTTACTGGGATGTCATAATATATTTGCCTTCCTTGCACTGAAGAATTGCAGGTAGTGGTATTCATCCATGGATCATTCCTTGCAAATAAACTTGTTGATGTTTGCATAAAAATGATCTGCTTGTCACTATACTCCCCAAGCTGGCCCTTGTCCGTGATATGTGACATGAATTAATTTCCCAGCTAGTGAATTCAGGGAGTGTATTAGAAGCCACAGCAATATGTGATGAGCTGTAATTAAAATTACTAATGCATGTAAATTCCTTTCCTCCCTTCTGCTTTAATTTACATTCTTCATGCAGACTTTGCGTGCACCAGAGATCTGGTGTTGACTGGTAACAATGATTTCTGCTTTCTCTCCAGCACAGTTGCACTGGGAAATAAATTTAGTAAGGATCCTCGCTGAGGTGTGGCACTAGGTATCAAGAAAACTGCGTGCCTTGCAGCTGGCCTGAGAAGCTCTGGTCTGTGGTTGTAGTGGCATCATTGGTAAAACAAATCTATTTAAGAGTGGTAGTTTTCATATTCCATAGGAGGACCAATAATCGCGTTGCCTTAGTTCTGGTACGGTCTTTCTTTCCCATCTCATCCCTTACTAAAATATCTATGATTTAAAATGGGGATGTTTAAAGGATTGGCCATTTTATGTTGCATTATCTTACCTAACTAATGCTTAAGTTATTTTTAGTGGTGCTGGAAAATGTGGCTTGGTCCTTAACCATGGAAGTGAACTACCAAAATCAAATATTCAGAGAAATGCATTTTGATGCAGAACAATGGGTGCTTGAGGAAAGCTCTTCTCTTATGCCAGACATAGTTGCTATATATTTCATTATTTTGTTGCTAGAGAAATTTGTAAGTGGCTCAGTTGCAATTCTGAGTGACCAAAAAGTGGTTTTAGCTGATAGGTGAAAGAAAGGAAAATCATATGTTAAGACTTACTGTCCCAGCCTTCTGCAGGAAGAAATGAAGAATTTGGATGGGCAGTCCTCTTGTAATTGTATGCATTTTGGAGGTCAAGGGGTTGGGTTTGTTTGGTTTGTTTTTTACTCAGCCTTTTGTTTTTCTTGAGGTAGATGAATGTCTTGTATCAGAATAGTATTTTGAGGGTGTAAGGAGTTACAGCCTGCACAGAAATAGAAATTCTCCCCCCAAAAATAAAACAGTGCTCAAAGGCTGCATGACTTGTGAGCAGGGAGCTGAAATGGAGTCAGGGGAAGCAGGATTCTGCGGTGCTGGTACTGGCCTCAAATGCGGCAGAGTCCTATCAGTGTGTTTATGCCATTTTGCTTCTCTGAGCCTCTTTCCTTCTTTGCGTTTTGTTGCATTTTATTGTGTTTTCTCATAAGATTTGCATGCAGTTCAAGAGCTATTCAGATCTTGTCCAAAGTCCATTTGTTGTCCAGTATTCCATTACCTTTTTGATTCTCTGGGCCCAGAGCCTGGCAGGAATTCCGTCTCCTGTATCATGACTCTGAATAAATCCAACTGCAACTTCTCTTACAATTCTTGGTAACTTTGCTGATTCCTCAGTGCCTCCTGCAATAAAACATATCCTATGTGCTATGTGAAGTACCTCTTCTGATCTGGTCTTCTCATCTCTTCTCATCATCCCTCTAATACTGCTGTTTAGGGTTGTGCTTCTGCTCCCTGCCACTCAGTTACTGTTTCCAACCATTCCCTTCAATTTCCATCTCAAATGGAAGATGATCTTTCATGGCCTCAACCCAGCTCATGTTTTTCTCTTCCTCATCTTGTTCTATCCTAACCTGATTTTTTGGTTGGTTTGGGGGTTTGGTTTTTGTTTTACTATTCACTTCTTTCACTGCACTCTTTGCTTTTAGGCTTTCACATCTCTTACTAGTATCACACCTACCAGGCTTACATTGCTGTTTTTGCTGTTCCAACACCCTTTCTTGAATTTCTTTTGAATTTTTTTCCAGCAGGAGGTCTTCTGATCACAGACGTCCAAATAACCACTCTTTACTGAGCAGTTATCTATATTTTCTCCTGTACTTTGTTTGGACTGTTAGATCTGTGGAGCACAGGATGTAGTTGCTGCCTTTTTTATAAGCTCCATGTAAACTTTGACAGCACTGCAAGTCATCATTAAAAGTAAAGATCAGGCCGTTTACATCTCTGATTCTAGTGCGCTTTGCTGGGTACAGCGGGGGGACCGTGCTTATGTCTTGGAACTGGGTGTCTCCCCCAGGGAAACAAAAAGTTATGACTGATAGGTAGGGATGGGAGAGATACTCCCGTGATAGTGCACATGCTTCCTACCATGCTGTCTCTTTTCCTCTTTCTCAGTTTGTCTCTCCCTAGTAGTTTATCTGCTGGCGCTTACTGCGGGTGAGGATGGACTGAGTGATAGTCAGCCAATCTCTGACTTGCACGCATATGCTTTTAATAAGCTATTTTTCCACAATGCAAAGAAAAAAGGAAAACTTGCTTTCATCAAGTTGCTTTCAAGTTCACGGAAAACACAGCATAGGTTGAAACAAGTCTCAGGCTTCCTTTTCCTTTTGTCTTGCAGAGGCAGGCAGTGGCCAAGATTACGTGACGTCAGAAAATCAGCTACTTTACTACCCTAGTATTACCTATGCTATCATTGGTAGCTCTGTCATTTTTGTACTCGTGGTGGCCTTTCTTGCCTTAGTCCTGCATCACCAACGGAAACGCAACAATCTCATGACCCTGCCAGTGCATCGGCTGCAGCACCCTGTCCTCCTGTCCCGTCTGGTGGTCCTCGATCACCCGCACCACTGCAGCGTCACCTACAACGTCAACAATGGGATCCAGTACATGTCCAACCAGCCCTACCACAGGCCAGTGGACCTGGACTCTCCGCCATCCTATTCAGAGGCTGTGCTCGACCAAAGGTATGTAGAGGAGCTAATTCTGCAGTCACCAAAGTTTCACGCTACTGGTTGCAGCTCTGCTAATCTGTGGTTCTGCTCCCAATTTATCCTTATTACTGCTTTTGACAGAAGAACAGCATTGCAATTCTGTCACATGCATAGGGCCAAATTTGGGCAAATTGGAAGTCCTCCTGCATATGAAAAAGTCATGGTCCTCAAGTCTCCCTTTACTGTGACTGGTATTAAAGGGATTTAAGGCAAACTTAAGTCATGCTCTCTTAGCACACGTTGTTGTTAGTAGAGATTTTGAGGATGGCAGGAGAATCCAAAAAAATGCATCGCTTGTGTAGTCGTGATACCCTGTGCCAGTCCGGAATCAAAACATGAAAATTGGAGTTTTGCCAAAAACCAGCTAGGCTGTAGGTCATACTATTTAAAAGAAACCGACCCTGGTCATATGTGATAAGTATATAAAGATAAGAGATCTTCAATTCTTGCATAAAGAAATTGTAGAGTCCCTCTGTTCTGCACTACTTTACCAAGAGAAGAAAAGAACGGGACTCTGAAATGGACCCTGCACTGTTCTCTTTTAAATAGCTGAAGGTGCTTTGAAGTTTTGTGGGTGGGTGTGGTTTGGGTTATGATATTCTTGTAGTTATGACACTGGTTTTATTTGTAGATAATTAACCTTTGTTTTAACCTCTGTCTGTAAAGTCTTTCCAAACAAAACTTGTAGACTGACATCCTCTGTACATAAAAAGGGCATGGCATGAACTTTAATGATCCAGATTGTTCACTGTGACCCCATCGGTACTTTTTAGTATGAACTCTGGGATCAAAGAATGATAGTATAATCATTTACATTCCCATTCTCTGCTGCATTTGGCAGCAGTTCCCTTGTCTTAGTGTTGACATTCATAATAATGATATCTTTTCATTAGTAAAGACAACTAAATGAGCAGCTGTCCAGATTGTAATCACTTCTCACCTGGACTGATACAAGCCATCAGCAATTTCAGAGCTAATTGCTCACAGGACCTGTTCTCAATCTGCTAAATGCTTCAGTCCCTTTACTTGTTTACTATCAGAACCAAAAAACAGTTTCCCTGAATCCAGTTCTCATCTTGTTTATGCCTTCTTAGCAGTTGCTCTGCGTGTGATATCATGACAGCAAAAGTGATTTGTCATGTGGAGAATTCAGTTTGTTATTTATTTGTAGACCGTAAGCCATTAATCTCTGTCACTTAATGGAGGTTTCCTCAGAGCTTTCTTGTGTTCACATCATTTTCTATAAGTGTAAATTTGCTACTTACCTTATTTCTTTTAAAGCACTTTTTCAGGTTGTGTAAATGTTATACAGGAAAAATTCTTACCTCTTGCAGCTGTCTTTGAGGGTAAGCTGAGATTTGTTGGAAGTGCATACCCATGAAAATTGGAGTGCTGAGTGTTAAGCAGGATGTAATTAGCTATGTTGCATCTTGACCGAGAAACCTTGGTGCCCAGTGGTGGTGTGGATTTTTTGGAATGACCTGAATAAAGCAGGCAGGTCTGTTTGAGATATCCTGATAGGTGCCATCATGTAGAAGTGAAGAAATACTGTTTGCGTTTCTTTCATAAATGGGAAACTATGCACTTTCTTCTGTACCACTGTCTCAGTAACCTCTTACTATGTTGTGTATCTTACAGCAGACCACCCTGGTTTGACCTTCCTCCACCACCTTATTGTTCTGAATCTGAATTTCCTAATCAGCCAGATCTTCCTCCTTACCGATCTCGGACGGGAAGCTTGGTGAGCACGGACACCCCCATGGCAGGAAGCCCTCTGGGCACAGACGGCAGTTGGACAAGAGACATCCATGACAGCATGGATGCCCACAGAACTCTTCTTGAGAGGACAGCAGATCAAAGCGATTCTCTGGTCAACCACATTGTTGAAAGAGAAGTGTAACTGCTCCAGTGTTTGGGATGGGCAGGAAGGCATTTACTTTTTCAAGTCTGTATGGGTTAATCTGCTGTGCCTAATAGGTTTCAGGGGGATGTGTGCCTGAATGATGACTTGATTTGAATCCACACTAAGGTAATATTTGAATTCAGCATTTTGGGTTCATCAAATACAGAGCTGAGAGGGCTAAACCTAGAGTCACATCAGCTCTCCCCAACATTTCTGCGAGCAGGTTCCGGTTCAGACTAGTAAAAGAAACATCAGTGCTGTGTCAAAGAACTGATGTGATGTATTTCTTGGACTATTTACTGTACATGAATGTATATATGTGCATGTATAATATATACAGATGTTGCACACACAAACTATGCCACAAGGACTCTTGTTTTCCAACTGCCTCCCGTCCTGTCGATGTGTGAGCTGTTTCTTCTTACTGCCTAGTGCCAACTGGTGGTCACTGAAGCACATGAGAGGCAGTCTTTCTGCTTGGAGGTCTGCTGCCCAATGCTAGCCCACTGGCAGTGCTCAAATTGCAGAAAATGTCCTGCTTGACCCTTCTCTTCACGGCCTGGAACAGTCTCACTGTGAATGTAATTTTCAAAGCTTAAGCTTGTGAGGATGCGACAACTCTCTTAACTGAGCAAATGAGGGTTTTTTTTTTCCTTGATGCTAATATCTAGGCCAAATTTGCATGGGTTTTCTCAGGAACACCACAAAGGTTGGCGTATCTGTCAGACTTCAAGGCTGAGTATGGAAGCACTGAAGCTTCTCAACAAACCAGGACAAGGCTTCTTTTCAACCATGGCAAAACAACATTACTCCATGTGTTCCTTCTTAAAAACAAACAAACAAACAAAACCAAAAAAGAAACCCACAACTAAACAACAAAGCAAAAAACAAAACAAAACAACCAAAAATACCCCAAACTGTTTCAACTAAATCTTGAACACCAAAACCAGCCAGAGGCAAACACCCATCACGGAAATCTTTAGTGTGAATGACTGGTTTGTTACATTTGTAAAACAACTGAAAGCAGGTCATGCAGTGAGAGCTGTTGGGCTTGTCGGCCCTGTCTGCAGCATGTACATATACATGCATGGATACACGTGTTCAATACTGTGTGTATCTCTGTAAGTATGTATTGCATAAGTTTAGTTCTATTGCACCAGTAGAACTCCAGCATGTCAAAGTTTCGTTTGTGATACACTCATTGTTTTTTAAGGAGTTTGCCGTTACTTGTGTTCATTTAGTTGAAATGGTTTTCTGCAGAAAAACATAATTATTTGTGTCTGTTTTGTCGTGACTCTTGGAGTGGTCTCCTGTAAAGTGCGTTTCAGTGCACGGTGTTGAATCACCCATGTGAAGGCGTTTCAGAGGTAAAGGTATTCAGAGTGGCAAGAGGGAAGGTAAGCTGTGAATTGAAATGCTACTGCAGTGCTGTGCTTGTGCTCAGTATACAGAGAACAATGCAGTGTCTTCCTCTTGTCCGGAGGGAAACTGGCCTTGAAAAATTATTCATATTTGTCTATCAGACACATTTCCTATTCCTTCTTCCATGTAATGAACAGTGTCATTAAACAGACTATTTAATGGAAATGAAGGAAGCTGACTGCCCACACCTTCTGCTTTCTTCCTCCTGATCTTTCTAAGGTACTTTCTTTCACCAAAGGTTATATGCTCAGAACCCAAGAATTTTTGAGCTTGAGTGTTAGGTAGGGGAACATCTTGAGTTCAGTCTCAGTTCCCACGCGTGCATCAGAATTTTTGTGTGTTTTTTTTTTTTTTTAATTTCCAGCTCTGGAGTCTACTGCCGTGGTCTGTAAGAGGCAGGGGCCAGATGGATTTACAAGCACAGGTCATTTTGAGGACTGAGATGACACAGTGGGGAGCACTGGAGAATTCTAATGCTGATGGGCTTGGCTGACTTTGGAAGCAGATTAATGGCAGCCTTTCATTACAGGCATAGGCAGCCTTGTCTTGAAGTGCATGGGTGAAGGTGCTTCTAGGTCCTTGTAAAGCAATGTACAAGATCGGGTCAGATTTCACCCTTGCTGGGCCCTCAAGCGATGTAATTATGCTGTCCTTCACAAAGTGGGACTTGGCTAATTAATGAGACTGTCTGGCTTGATAGGCAGACTGTTGTCATTGTCACATAGCAGATGGTTGTTATTTATTTTACAGGTAGGTTAAATTCATGTACATAGCTGAGTTAATAGTAAAGGTAGGTGCAGGGGTGTCTCCTGTGAGCACTGGGTCCTGCTGTCCCTCTTGCCTTTTGTTAAGGTTCCCCTGGGCCTCTGCAAGAGAGCTATGTAATGCTGTGTCAGAATTAGCCTTAATACTTTTCTGTTGCAGTTTTTAAAACATTGTCTTAGACTTCAAAGCATGCTATTCCAGAGTTTGCAGTAGTTTCATTAGAATTAGGCATCTTTTTAATTTTAAAGTTGCCTAAGGCTGTATTAGTGAAACTAAATCATTGTGTCCATGTGGCATCCCTCAAGCCTTCCACAGGGGACTGCATTTCACACACCAGGGTGGGTGCAAACCAAATATTGTTTGCCTATGGCATCTGAAAAACATTGCCTTGCATTGCTGAGAAGTAGGAAAAGAGTGGGCATAGCCTGCTGCTTCTGCCTCCTGTGTCAGTCACTGTCATATAAGCACGTGAACTACCTTGCTGTGTATCCAAATATAGCACAGGTGGAGCCCCCAAAAATTCAAAGCAGTTGTATAATGGCACTCAGTGACATGCTAATGGATCTGCTGCACTCTGCAGTCCAGAGGACTGTCTATTAAAGCTTTAATACAGCCAAAAGTTGGTCCTGTAATAACATTCAAAGCTAGGCTGGACATAGGCATACTTTGAAATTTGGAATGAGAACGTAAATTTAAAAAAAAATATATATTCTTGGAGGATTCTGAAGCAAGAACTGTAATAAGGGAAGGGCAGTTTGAGCTTTTCTATCAGATTTATTGAAACAGTAGGATTTCTGAGGATGTCTTTAGTACCTACCTGTGTTGCACTAATGTCTGGAGGCGTGTCAGGTATGTAACAGTTGTGTAGTATAAACTTTTCCTTAAGAAAACAGTTGTGGTTCATATATATATGTATATATGTACATATATATATATATATATATATAAAAAAAAAGATACTCTGTCAGGTTGTATATATTCATGTAACTTTTGCATTAAGGTAATCTATTTGGACTTTGCAAAAAAAAAAAAAGAAACAAACATTCTAAATGGTGGGACATTTTCCCTTCCAGTTAAAGGTAAATTTGTATAGGAATCTTTTAATTTTCAAAAACCTGAGTTGGAAAAAGGAGATTGTGCCTTTCTGATTGATGGATTTGGGAGGCTGTTAACTACATTTCTGGGTGTTGTTACATATAATTGTCTAGAGATCCAAAAAGAGAAACAAGTCTTGTCTTCCTCTTTGTTGTTACTTCTGGGGACCACTGAGCTTGGAGGCGTACAGAAGTTCACTATCTTGTTCCAAAAAGGCATGTTAAAACTTTAAGGGGTGTTTTCATCTTACTCCAGTTTTCTGGTTTGTAGAACAGATTTGCTAGCTGTTTTCTTTGGAAATTGCTGTAGGATCACACAGAAATTGTTTATAACGTGTCACTTCTCGCAGTATTAATACAGCGCTATCCTGCATTATTCAGTGGAATCTTTGAGAAAGCGTGGTAGCAACAGCCACGCTGATGAAATTAAATATTTCATTGAAAATGCTGCAGTTTATAAGGCTGAAGTTAAATGTTCATGAAGTACCGCGTGGTAGGATTTCTTTTCAGTAGCCAGTAAAACTGGAATTGATCATTGCTGGTTAACCTTTAAGTTTGAGGTTAGTCCTCCAGGAGCTTTTCTTTACACTTCATATTTAAACAAATGGATGTTATTTCAAAGGCCTGTTCTTACAAAAGTAAAACCAATTAAAGTTTTCTTCCAGAGCCAAATTCTGATTCTACATCTGTGTTGAATGGTGACCACTGCAATGGGTAGTTCTCCTCAGCACAGGTATTAATATATTTGATTCAAACAAAACCATTTGAAGAAATTACTACTTGAGGTAAATAAAGGAATGTGGATTAGCTTGTTGGAAATAAGATTTGGGTTATTTAAAAATCAACAAATAAATAAATTTCAGAAGTTTTGAGTGTCTGTAGCCTCTGCTGAAGTCAGAGTGCTGTGTATTTAAAATCAGGCCATTAGTGAATCTGCTTGATATAATAATCTAAAGTTCCTTGTAAGGCAAATTACAATTTACCTCTCTGGTATTGTGCTAATGGAAAACTGGCAGTAATGCTTTTAGAAGAGAGCCTGTGAAGAATTTTCTCGGCTCTTGTCTACAGTGACATACACTACAACGCTGACTGCATTGCGATTTTTTTAATAACTCTGCATTCATTCTTCCTCTCTTTTTAAGTCAAATCAGTTTTATTTACACCACTTCACTTTGATACAGCTAATGGGGTCCTTGTGATAGATTTAGAAGCTGGGTGGAGGAAAGAGATGATGACTCTCATCGTAATTAATGCTGCAGCTTGTTAATCTTGTGCGCTTTACTTTTTAGACATCTTAGGAAAGACAAATGGGTTTAGTAGATAAGAAAAACTATTAACGATGAAAAGGATAGAGGGACACTGATTCTGAATTTAATTTTTGATGAATATTTTAAATTGTATAAACGAAGGAAGAGTTTAGTGCTGTATTTTTAACATGGTGGTCAGATGGCAAGTGGTGTTTTTAACTGTAGCTCATCGGAAGCTACTTTGCATGTAACGCCTGGGACTAAAATGGTGAGACAAGTGCTCTTCTTGCAGTTCATACTAGATATGAAATATTTTTTTATTAACACAAGGCTATATTGCACCCATGGACTAAAATATATGACTGCTGAAAGAATTTCAATACCATGCTGGATTCTGCCTGAATGTATCCCAGTACAGGACTGTGGCCTTCATTTGTCTGTTGTTTTTTTTTTTTATTTTTTTTTATTTTATTTTTTTATTCTGATTTGAAGGGGTCTGTCAACTTGAAATGGAGATGTTACATAAGAGCTTTAAGGGAGGTTGTATGTTGAAACACAACCTTGTCTTAAACTTTTGTAAACTGGAAATATTAAAAAATGTATTCTATATTCCTGAATAAAGTTGGTGTTTTAATACTGTTCACATGTGAGGATGTCCCCTGTCTCAGTTGCTTTAGTTTTACAGCCTCCTACATAAGGCTTCTTCCAACTTCTTTCGTGTTCAGTGTTAAGTTTTGTTAAATCTCTGTGAGTTTTAAACATTTTTAAAAGGAGGTGATATTGGAAACACACATGTACATGTGTGTATAAATATGTGCTGATACATATGTCTCCGTATTGATACAAATGAAAATTGCTTAATTTCATAATTTCTCATGTTGCCATTCTGTTTGTACTGTCAAAGATAAGGCATCTGAAGCAGTCGTGTTTTGTTGTTGTCTGCTTTGTTGCAGAGCTCTAGAGGCTTCAGCAGAGATTGGTGCTCTGTGCTGGTTGCTGCATATGGATTTACTAGCAGAGCTAAGGGGCCTTTAGCATTAGCTTCTGCCTCCCCCTTTCCGCCTGCCACTTTCCCACCACTTATGTTCCCAGCACAGCGTCCCTGTTTATCTCCAGGTCCGTGACCCATGTGCCAGACGCGTGAGCCAGGTTCAAGTTGAGATGCTCTCCAGAGGCTGTGTGTCTGCCTGAAGTCCCGTGTTGGGGCTCTTTCCCCAGCAGATGCTTGATGTGAGTACCACCACCATCATGGGAACCATCCAGCCCCACGAAGTCCAGACCCACTTGATGCCTGGATCGTAGCCACTCGTCTTGTCAAGGTACTTCCTTAGAGACAGTCCCATCACTCCAAGGACTAGCCTTAGGAAGTACCCCTCATGAAGTTGTTTCCACAGACTAAGGAGAACAGGTTCACATGTTACATCTAAATAGTCCAATCTGTCTAAGCATATAGGGGTTGATATATTCCACTTCCATGACTCAACTCCACTTGCTACCTTCGCAAAGGCATGTCAGTTTTATCATTACCCTGGTTAATTAAGTCACATACCCTCACCGAAATTCTCAGATGGTAATCTTTCTTTGATGCTGGCAAACTGCCCCAAAGCAAGTAGCCGTGAATCCAGAACTCACGCCAGTCGCACAAGGGAGGTGGAGCCGCTGAGGCTGCCACAACGGGCTTTCCGCAGGGGTGGGGAACGCTGGGGTCTCGGAGCTGGCTTGTTCAGTCATGTCCCAGCAAGAGCTATGCTTGAGAAATGTCGATTCAGAAGACAGCCACTTATGAAAATAAATAGCATACTCTCCAGCTAAGCTCCCTGATTAATCATTTTTATTCTCTCTGCTTTGTTTTGTTTAAAGATCTTAACTTTTACACCTTAAAAATGAAATACGTGGGTTTTTTCAGCAGTGATTTCTGAGTGTGGCATCTTTTCGTGCTGATTTGCAAGCAGTCTCCTAATCATTCAGTCTCAGGTATTTAACAGTGAGAGAACTAAGCAGCTTTTCACTTTTTGGGGAGCCATAGTCCAAAATGATGTGCTGTTATTAATTGAAGTAAAGGCATCTTCATGTGGAAATTCACAGCTCTGCTTTTCAAAGCAAAGTTGAGGGTATGCATATTGCATAGAGCACTTGGGAAAAGTACGGGGTTGATCCCTCTAGGGAATTAACTTTTCTGTCTGTCTGCCAAACATTCTGTGAATAGATAAACCAAAATGTGATTCTGTGCTTCCCAAAACCCTAACAGTATTCCTTACAGCCTTACTGAGGGGGCTACTGCAGATGAGAAGGTAGAGCTGATCTGTTGATCTGGCCGTTGGCATTTCTGTGGGAATGGGCACAAAGTGGTTCAGTACTGTGGTTGCTTTGGTGCTGGATACCATGCAGAAGACCTGTTTTCACTGATTTGAGACCATCATTTCCTACACACTTCCCAACAGTCACTGTCCAGGTAAGTACTTTTTTTTGGGTTTATTTTAGTAGCTCTCACCTAAGGTTAATTCCTACCAGTTACCCTGTGGTAAAACATTTTATATCTCATTACTTGATAACACAGCCTGTAACTCCTTCAGATTTAAGCCATGGTCGTTTCTCAGCACAAAAGTACAAGAGCCGTCATCTGTGTAAGAGCAATAGGAGTAATGGCTCCGCTTGACCCAAACCAGCTCACTTCTAGAGGAGCGCCCTGGCAGGGTCAATTTGATTGAATGAATGAATGAATGGTCTACTGCATTTATTTGGAATACCTGCTATTTTCTTGATAAATAGGAATCATGTTGCAGCACAGTGATGAAGAAGTATGATATTTTGTTTGACAGAGTAGATTTTTCTTCTTATTTGTTTGTGACAGAGTTATCTTAGAAAAATGCTCTTCGCTCGACCCTGCATCCAAAGTAGCACTAGCTTGCAGAGGTGCGGGGTAACGGGAGGGCAGTA